GCTTGCCAGCTGCTTAAATTGCTTATAAGCTGCTCTGCAGATCCGTATGATATTTCTTCCAATCCCCAAAGCTCTGATTCCTGGCAGAGGCTACCTGGATGAGTCAGACCCTTTTCATCACTAAAATTGGCTGAGGACCTCCAGCCCCTTTTGGTATGGAGCCAAGTTATAAGAGTTGATGAAGGTGTGGGATTCTCTTAGTCTTCTGGGGAGGATTGTGGATGCTCACAGGGTCCTCCTGTGCTCTCCTGTGTAGTCCTTTCCTGGAGAAATAAGCTTTGTGGAGGTTAGGCCTCAGGATTTCATCACCTGTCACAATTTCTCATTGTTTCATTACCTTGCACTGCTCAATAGGGGATTCAGGCAGGTAGATTTTGCCTTCAATTTATTTTTAATATAATTTCTATCTTAAAAGGCAATAATGTTAAGACACACTGACGTTCAGGGTTATAATCTGGGAGAAGAGAAGTCTCGCATGAATACTGCTGATGAACTACACACAACTCCTGAATAAGTAACTGATTCTCATAGAAACATAGAGCACCAGAATTATATTGATAGATCTGGTTCAGAACTTTTGGTTGAAGGAAGAGCATGCGGCATTGTATTGACACAAGTTGTTTAATACAAATTTAAAAAAAAACATGCAACCTTTGGGGGGGCTCTCAGTTGAAATCAGATTCTGGACACAAGAGAGACTCAGCTGTGCAAGATGGTATAGCTCCATTAAATTTAATCAGCCTGGCCCATATATGTCTTGACCATCAGTAGTTGATTCTCCCTCGTTAACTTTTTCTTAACTTTGAATACAGCATCGTAAGGCTGCTCCTTTGTGGGGCTGAGAGTTGTCCACTCTCATTGAGTTGAGTAGGAGGGATGGCTGCTCAATTACTAACAGGAGTAGCCCTTAATGGGTGTTATGCATGTTGTATGACCTCCTTTTCTACTCACGCAGTTTAAGCTTGCAGGTCCATCCAACTCAAATGCCACCCTTATTTAATACTAACTGTCACACTGGCTTGATCTCATTGGGGTTACAGAGGTGGCTAAACGGGGCAGAGATCCATTTGCCCCCACCATCTAGTCATAATGCAGAGTGTCCAACAACTTCGTAAGTAAAGGCTGGACTGTAAAAACAAAAGTTCTTCCCTTCCCCAGGGTTGGCAGGGCTTGGTTCTTTGTGCTGACTGGCAGGTTTTTAGGTTGAGCTCATGCAGTTTGGCAAGGAGGAGGACTTGGTTCATAGACTTTCATTTGGCTGAAGAGCAGAAACAGAAACATCTGCTGGAACTAGCAATGAAAAACTCACTAGCTGAGGTGACCATTCAGGTTTAGGCATGCCCAATCTGCCTTACTGAGTAAACAGCCTGGCTCATGGTGTGAATGGCACCCAGTGGGTTTTTCCAAATCCTTTTCATGCATCTTCTAATTTTGGAGGTGATTTTTATTGTGCAGGCATCTGGGTGCTTGAGCACATTCCAGAGAGGGAAATTTAAGGTAATACTAGTATTCAGTGCATAATGAGCATGGCCACTGCACTTGGCAGCACAGCTTGGGAAGGAGGTGAGCAGCCAGCTGTGGCAAAAGAACAGGCTAGGGGCTATTTAGAAAAGCTGGACATATACAGATCCATGGGGCTGGATGGGATTCACCTGAGGGTGCTGAGGGAGTTGGCTGATGTGGTTGCAGAGTCACTGGCCATGGTTTTTGAAAATGTATGGCAATCAAGAGGGTTCCCGGATGACTGGAAAAGGGCAGATGTAGTACCCATCTTTAAGAAAGGGAAAAAGGAGGATCCAGGGAATTACAGACCAGTCAGCCTCACCTTAGTTGCTGGAAAATTCAGGGAGCAGGTCCTAAAAGAATCCATTTCTAAGCCCTTGGAGAAGGAGCAGGTGATTAGGAACAGTCAGCATGGATTCACCAAGGGCAAGTCATGCCTGACCAACCTGATTGCCTTCTATGATGTGACTGGTTCTGTGGATGTGGGGAGACCAGTGGATGTGGTGTACCTTGACTTTATCAAGGCTTTTGATATGGTCTCCCAGCCCCGCTTTGCCATCCCAATCAAGGAGGAGGGGCTGGGAGACCCTTATCTCTTAGTGTCAGCTGTGTGACTGAGGCCAGCGCTGGGAGATCCTTATTACAGGCTCCCCAGGCTGTTCACTACCCAGCTCGCCACCCAGAACTGAGCAGGGAACAGGCTCTCCAGCCCCCACTCTGTGGGCTGGGGACTGTCTCAGTCAGGGGTAGGTCCCAGTCCCATGCCTCGATTGGTTGATTGAGGTGCGGGGCTTAGAAAGAGCTGTGGGGAAGGTGAGGTGGGGGATGGGCAGGTCCCAGTCCCCATCCCCTGCCTCGATCCACTGGTAGCACAGCTAACAGTGAGCTGACTCCCCTGCAGCTCTTTCCCTTACCCCTGATTGGGGAACTGGAGCCGGAAGCTCCCTGCTGCCAGGACAGGGGAACATTGTCCCTGCGCTGGCAGCAGGCAACACCCCCAGGGGCAGGATGTAGTGTCCTAGCCCCAGCCAGGAGCAAGTGACTCCCTGCCAACCCCTGAGCTAGCAACCAGGGGGAACCTAGAGCTCCCCTGGTGGTGGCAATGGCCCATTATAGGGCCTCAAGAAGTGGGAGCTGTTTGCTGCCATTAGCAGCAAATCTACTCCTGCTTTCCTGCACATGTAGATGCCTACCTGGGAGCGTTTACTTGTGTAAACCACTCCTGGATCTAATGCATGTGTAGACACACCCAGAGAGACGTAGACAAATTGGAGGACTGGACCAAAAGAAATCTCATGAGGTTCAGTAAGGACACGTGCAAAGTCCTGCACTTATGATCGAACAATCCCATGCACCGGTACAGGCTGGGAGCTGACTGGCTAAGCAGCGGTTCTGCAGAAAAGGACCTGGGGGTTACAGTGGACAGTATGCTGAATATGAGCCAACAATGTGCCCTTGTCAAGAAGGCTAATGGCATACTGGGCTGAATTGGTAGGAGTGTTACCAGCAGATCAAGGGAAGTGACAATTCACCTGTATTCAGTACTGGTGAGGCCACATCTGGAGTACTGTTTAGTTCTGAGCCCCCATTACAGAAGTGATGTGGACAAATTGGAGCGAGTCCAGCAGAGGGCAATGAAAATGGTTAGGGGGCTGGGGGACATGACTTATGAAGAGAGGGTGGAGGAATAGGGCTTATTTAGTCTGGAGGAGAGAAGACTGAGGAGAGATTTAATAGCAGCCTTTGAGTACCTGAAGGGGGTTCCAAAGAGGATGGGACTGGACTGTTCTCAGTGGGGGCAGATGACAGAACAAGGAGCAGTAGTCTCAAGTTGCAGCAAGGGAAGTTCTGTTAGATATTAGAAAGAAATTTCTCATTAGGAGGATAGTAAAACATTGGAACAGGTTACCCAGAGAAGTTGTGGAGTCTCCATCCTTGGAGAGTTTTGCCCAGAATGAAGAAAGATGAAGATACTTCCTCTGTCATTCAGACAATGTTGTCTTGAGGCCTCTAGTGCCCACCATAAATATGCAAGCGACTGTCTTGCTTATTTACTGGCCTGTCTGAATTCAGGGTGGACTCAGCTCCATTTCGTGGATAAATGTTGGTGTTTTGAATGAGCTAGAGCTATGTGGTTTTCCTTCTGACATCTTGGATTTGCAGGAAGTAAGAAAAAGCAGGGACACAGTGATGTGTGCAGACTTTTTTCCCTCCATTTTATCCCTTTCACAGTGTTTATTGTCACATCTACTGGTACTTCCAGAGGGGTAGGGGTGCAACAGATAAAGGTTTTCTTGGCTGATACCAATAGCCAATTATTAACCAGCCATATCAGTCGGTACTGATTTGATAACCAATTTGGTTACATGTGACGCTGGAGGTTGCTGGCACGTGCCAAAAAAAAAGGTTTATTTGTATCAGTACTTTAAAATGCATTTTTAAAGGTCTTTAAAAAACCTCAGAGAGTCCCAAGCCCACAGCAGGCAGCCTACATCCATCCTCGCCCCACTTAGCTCTTCCCTGCTTAAAAGCATCCCTGTGCTTAAAAATGGTGACTGCAGCACTTAAACTAAAGCTCATTTACTGTGGGCTTGGGGCTCTCAGCTCTGTGGCCTTTGATCTGGTGGCTCCAGGCTAGCCACGCATCCCCTGCCCACCTGGCAGCAGGAGGCACAATTTGCTGACCTCACGGCTGCTGGGTGGGCAGGGGGTACGCGGCTGGTGTGGTGCTCCCGAGGGAAAGGCAGCAAAGTGGGGAGCCCTGAGCCCACAGCGAGCAGCCTACATCTGCCCCGCACACAAATTGTGGGGGGGGGGCTCATGCCCCATCCCCTGCTTCCCCCAAGGGTGTGTGCAGTGGCGGGGAGCCACTCCCACCCCCCAGCACCCTCTGAACAAGCCGCCTGTGGCTCCATCCCGCTCCCCACCCCAGCCCCAGGTCCCATTCACTGCCCTGGCTGGGCAGCACCTCCAGCCTTGATCTGCCCTCCCCCCACACTCATTCCCTCCCCCATGCTCTTTCCCCTCCACAGACTTACCTGCAAGGAGCTGCTCTCCATGCTATCCGATTGTCTGGCAATGCACATGCGTGTAGGCACACACAAGCACTCAGGACCCCTTGTAGGCTAGAATGCTGCCCACCTGCAAGGGGAAACCCGCTGTTTCCCGAGGGAACCCAGCCATTCAGGGGCCCGGCCCTGCAGACGAGAGGAAACCTAGGTGTCCAGGGGATCCGGCCAGAAGGCATAATTAATTATATTTATCGGAGAACATTATTAACTAAACGGCCAATAAAAGCCAGTAGCCAATAATATAAATTTCTCTTTTTATTGGTGCTGATTCAATATGCAACCAATATGCAGAGGGATGGGGGAAGGGGAAGGATAAGAGGAGTAGCAGCAGTAAGAGGTTAATGCCTAAGGAATAGATTCCCTTTTTGTGCCAATTACTGACATTTAAAATCAGCTGTATTATTTGTTTTCCCTCTTCCTATTCAGGCTACAGACTGATTGGAAGCCATTCTGGTGTGAAGCTTTGTCGGTGGACAAAGGTATTTCTTTCTCTCTCTCTCTCTCTCTCTCTCTCTCTCTCTCTCTCTCCTAACAAAAGGAAAGTACTAGAGACCTAAAGGTGTGACAGTCATGTATCTGAAATAATCTTTAAAAACCTATTTCCTGTAAGATTGGCTTCTGGGCTGCCATTTTGCATTGGTAGGTTAAATCCCTGTCACTTAGGGTAGAAATATATATGATTGAGACACAGATGTCAGAGCTACTCTGTGTCATTTTGGGGTGTTTGCTGTTACCATTGTTGTACCCCTGTCTACAGGAATACACGTTATCGAAAGAACAAGGTTGAAAAAGCAAACCAGTTGCATTGCAGCATTAAACTTAGTATAGGTGTAGCAGGCTGCTGAAATCTCTCTGTAATTAATATTTCTGGTTTGCTCAGGCTATATTCCTCCCTGTGTCTAAGGATTTGTCAAACAGTGAGATGAACTTTATTTAAAAGTAACTACGCTGTTGCTAGTCTTTTAATTAATTAGATATAAATGATGGCTTCCCTTTCCAAGTCATACAGTTCTGTGTATTGTGGGACATTGTAAAGGATCTGCTTTTCCCACTTGGTGACTAGGTAATGTTACATATTTTGGGCGTAGCATGCATGCAATTTACTGATGTGTGCAATATTATTAAAAGTAAAGGCCGTGGGAATAAGCACTTACTGAAAGTGCTGTCACATCTTTGTTTCCTGTGCACTGGCAGCAGTAAGTTCTCTGGTCTCTCTCCCTCCTTTGCTGCATTATTAGCTGTGTTTGTTTTCAAAAGAGCTTATTGAATGATGATTTTTTTTTTTTTATTGAAATGCCTGATATCAGTGAGGTGTTGCAGCAAAACATCCTCACCTATGAATAGCTTAAAGAGCACCCTGCTGTACTATCATGAATATTTTGTAAGGCGTATTGATCCAGCTAACTTTTTGCTGTTTGCATTTTTCTTTAGATGCTTGTTCCTTCTATTGTTTGTTTTCTTGTTAACATAAGAGCAGGCTATGAGATGCTTAAAAGAAAAAAGTTGTGAGACTTTGTTAAAGCTGCAAATGAGAAGAGGAGAATGAATGGGTTTGTTAGAGAGTGCCACGACTTCAAGTAGCGCTATAAAAGCCATTTAACAAAAGTAAATAGGAATACACTGTGTTTAGATGGGGGCATGCCATTTTTAGATGGGTTGGGTGTATGGCAGTGGAATAAACTACAGCAGAAATGGGTTCTGGAAAATCAGTTTGCTTGACCTCTGTCACCAATTTCCCAATGTTCCTCAGTTGATTTCAATAGAACTGGTCCTGGCTTAAACCAGCAGAAGGCAGAATCAGGCCTGCTTTTCATTTAAACTGGACAAGAATATCTCAGTTAAAAGTATTTATTCTTAGGCATGCCATAGAAAATAATTAGCATGTTCAAAATTCATATTTCTGTGTTTGTCATTAGATCATTGATTGTAGGTTTTTATACGATCTATATGCATGATATGGTCTCAAAAAATACACATCTTCTAAAATCTTTCCGTATGACATTTGGCATCTTCTGTGGGGAATGGGATAAACCTTTTTATTCTTAATCTAACTACATGCTTAAACTTTTGTTACCTGTATTGCCTTTCTTATGGGATGAGACTTAATTTTGAATCTGTGGGGCTGTTAGCTCAGGTTGATTACAAGTTATTTTGTTATATTCCTGTACCTCATTTTATAGTGGTAGAGATTGTCCCCTGTTTATTAGTATTTCTTAATTGAATGAAAGGCGGTCTTAATTTCAGAAAGCAACTTGCATTCTAAATAGATTGTAAATGCCTACAGGATGAGTGCAGCACTCCCATTGTCAAAATAATATTGTGGTTTTATCGGTGAAGCCAACTACTGGTGTGAATGAGAGTTTACAGGATCAGGCTATTTATTTGAATTAGAGTTGGAAAAGGTACTAGTCTTTTAGGAAACTAAAAATTAGTGGGAGGTTATTATGCAGCCTTTAAATGTATTTTTGTTGCTCTTTGTACTAGGTTTTTACAGTAATGTTCCTTTTAATGCTAAGAGGTTTAACCCAGTTCGTTTGGGTGTTGATAGAGAAAATTTAGTATGGCTACACGCTTGAGTAAAAGACACTGGTGTATGCTTATGCACGTGAAAAATTAATGTTTAAACTAAAGGATGCAGTTGTTTCCTTCTAGCAAAGGAGAGTCAAATGTTTGAGCGCTGAATCAGTGTTTGTATAAGGACATGTATAAGGTGCTATAGCAGGGGCAGGCAATTATTTTGGGCGGAGGGCCGCTTACTGAGTTGTGGCAAGCCATCAAGGGCCGCACGACAGGCAGTCAGGGGCAGATAAATGTTAATTTTCTAATTTTTTCGTGGTCCCGCGGGCCGGATAGAATGGCCTGGCGGGCTGCATTTTGCCCACACCTGTGCTATAGTGTACACTGATGTATGACCGTTTGCCATGAATTTTCTCAAAAAGACTGTCTCTTTCCTTGGTGTGACCTATGGCTCCCAAGTTAGCCTGTCTTGTAGAATTTCTGCCTAGATGGATTAGAACATCATGGTGATTATTAGTTGAAAAGTGCACAGCTGCTAGGGGAGCAAATGACTGGTTGGCATTGGATATGGACAGTAGATATGGATATGACATAATTTAAAATCAAAGGATGCAGAGCTTGAAGGGGAATGCTTTGTAGTGGGTACTACAGTAGAGGGAACTTTAACCTCTGTTGCAAGGCATTGATTCTACTTTAAATGAAGTTTTCTTTTCTTAGAGTACCTAAGCAGCTTTGTTGATACTCTGGTTTTTGGCTCTATTATGTCCATTACACTGAGACTAAATTTGTTCCACGGTTTCCTTTCTTAAATAAAGCTGGAGCTGTCAAAGCTGCTTGGTTTTTTTTCCAAGGCAGCTTGACTTTTTGCATCATTTGGCTGTAGACCGTGTGTTAAATTTCTGTGTTGTTCTGTTTTCTTTCCTGCTTCTAGTCGATGCTCCGAGGCAGAGGAGGCTGCTACAAACATACTTTTTATGGCATTGAGAGTCACCGATGCATGGAGGCCACCCCGAGCCTGGCTTGTGCGAACAAATGCGTATTTTGCTGGAGGTAAGGTACTGCTGCTCTTTGCCTTTGGGGAGCATCACTCCATTACATAGCGTGTTACTCGTGCATTTACAATATCTCTCCCTGGATTCTCTGCATGAGAAAAACCACCACTCCCAGGAATTTTGCAGACCTATTTTTAAAAAAGCAAAACAGCAGTGTTTCAGTTGACCAGTTCTGATTTGTTGTGAACTCTTTATAGCATGGAGTTTTGTTGTCAGGCCTGGCAACACATGGCTGTGGTCCAGCATGGCTATGTGTTGGCCTGTGGAAACCTAGCTTGCCTCACTGTTCTTCCAGTTCTCTTCCAGTTTTTAATCCATTATGATGATATTATTTTCTTTAAAAAAAAAAAAGAAAAAGAAAAAAATCCTTTTACAAAGTGCAGTTTGAAAGCTAATTATCTAATATATGTTCTCATTATTTTGATACGTAGGGGTTGTAGGAAAAGAATTTCAAAAGCATCTTTGAGTTTCTTGAGTCTTTAAAGCTGACGCGCAAGAGCCGACCAAGAAATTGAATATGCAACCTACACTCCTTTTACCTTTACGTTTAGGGCTCCCCCCTCTTGCAGTGGTTATGTTCAATGCATAAAAAGGCAATTTCCTAGTCATTCATTTTGGGACTTGCTTCAGTTAGAAAATAAGAATCAGCTTCCATGTTGTGCAAGAATTTGGTATCTTTAAATGTTTTATATTCTATGAAACTGCCATGCACTCTCTCTCTCTGTCTCTTCCTTTTTTCTAAGTATTGTCTCCAGTAACTCAATAGCATACCTTGTAGTTGAAAAGTGAAACAGGTTAACTGGTGGCTTATTAAGACTACAGTTAAAAAAACAAAAACCCAATAGTATGTTTCTATCACCAAAGTGACCCCTCTTAGAAGATGAATTACCCTGTTAAAAGTGCCCTAAGGGTGAATGAGCTTTATCAGAATCTGAGCTGTAAGATCAGATCTGCATCAGCAGTCCTCCTTCAGGCAAGTGGCTTGACTTCAGTGAAGTTTCTTGCCAGACTGGGGAGTGTAGGAGAGGCCTGACCCTAAATAAAAACAGCGATATGAAAATATGATGAATGGGAGGAGCTGAAAGCTTCTCAGTCATTCTTTCTGCAGCTGATGAACTAATTTAGTATCATTCCAGCTATACCTGACTTGGCTGTCCTTTCTGTCCAAGAACGCTTAGTCGCCACTCATTTTCAGTTCAGAGGTCTGAATGATTAGGATGAGCTCGTGAGAAAAGTTGCATACTGATATGCGTCAGTTGCTTGCTGATTTTGATAGTCTACAACTTTGAATAATGCAAATACTTAACAACAGCAGCAATATAATGCTGTGCTATTGATGTACTCCAAAAAGTATACATCCCCATTATGTAAGTGCTTGGTATAATCATTACGTATTAACCATGTTTAAATCCATGTCAGGGAGCTTTAATTTAAAACGTTAATTAGTACTGTAGTCCGATAGGCTTTTATCACTTCATGGCTTGAAAAGAGTCACCGAACAGCATATCTAGCAAGTGTTTTTATCCAGTCTTTTCCACAGTGTATAAATAATAGTTCAGTAGCTGGAAACAGAACATTATTCTCATTTCTGGACTTCAGTTTTTAACAGTGGAGTTAACTGTGTAGCAGTAACAGCACCAATAAGAGGAAAATTGCCCAGTGCATAACTGTGTATCCAGTCTTAACAGGGGGCATTTCATAAATGCCAAATAGAAAGCAGTGAAACAACCAAAGTGGAGCTCTTTGGTACCTTATGCTTTACTGCAGAAGATGTAATAAGTGTTTTTTTCCCTCTATAATAGCCTGGCTTTAGTATAGCCTATTGGCAGGAACGTGTCTTTTGATTGAGACTATATCCGAGATGCTAAGCATGTGTCAATTGGAAGATAACAGCCATTGAGATAAATTGCCCAGGCTGACACCCACTGTATGACTGACACACAAATCTGTGGATATTATTTTTTACTCTAAAAATCCTGGAAATGGAGGAGCTCTAACCATAACTAATACTGAGAAATTGATTTAACTAATAGTGACGAAGGCAGCACAAACTAATCACTTTTTCTAAAGGATGCAGAGAAACATTCTCATATATTTACCTTGTGGGGATGAAATTGGTCTCATTAGACTGTTCATTATGGATGGATGTTCTTGGTTTCCTCTGGGATCTGTAGTAAATTCCAGGCACTTGCGGGGGGCCTCCTCATCAGTTTTATGAGGATATCTGGCTACAGCTTACAGGATAATTTTGAGCACTAGCCGAGCTCATGCTTTGTCATGGGTGGCCAGGTCTGGTGGTTGCTCAAGGTCTGAAGAAGCAACCAAGATCTAAGGGGAGTCTGCAGAGTCCAAGTGTAGTGAAGCTGAAATCCAGGAGATCCATGCGTTAAAAAGAGGGCAGAGCACAGGGTCAGGAGACCACCTGGCTTAGGTATCTGAGAGATCAAACCGGAGTTGGGTTAGGGAGCCAAAGGGTCAGGCCGAACTCCAGGTCTGTGAGCAAGGTAGGTAGAGAATCCATCAGAGAGTTGGTAGGGGCACAAGCCAAGGGCAAGGCAATCTTGGTACAAGATTCAGTCTTGTTGCTCGGACACTTCCTCTTCCCGGTCAAGGGTTTTTATAGAAGGGGTAAAGGATCAGCTGGCCCTGGCTGGCCACTCCAGTTGCAAAGAGTAGATAGTTCACTAGGCCCAGATAATGGGTTCTGCTCACCTGTGTCCACCCCAGTGCTCAGCTGAGGAGGTGGCAGACCAGGAGGAGTGGCAAGCTGAGGCCCCAGGTTCAAGAATCGGGGTGAGACCCAGGTTCCATTATACTGCCTATGTTACTGGGGGCAAAGTACTTGGTCTCCTGGGCCTCTGTCCCACACCTGTAAAATGGGAATAATGATACTGGTTCACTATTGCGAAGCCTTCAAATACTAGAGGCTTGGAGTTCTCCGAAAAAGCACAGAAAATACAGTGTTCTTATAAGGAATAGAAGACAGAACTTGCTTTGGTTAGAATGAATCCTGAAGCACCATTTATGTGGGCTGCGTGCTGTCTCTGGATCTCTGATGCTTGGAGAACTGCTGGAATCTTGTTCTATCACACATGGGTTTCCTTGCCTTTGGCTTGGACTTGGCAGACACACACTTCTTTCCTTGACTACACTAGGGGTGACGCAGCATTGCTACAATAGTCCTCCCACCTTCCAAGCCTGTTTAAAATCCCAAGTTTGTGAGGAGAAGAACTAGAGTCCTATTTTAGTCTTTATTAGGAAACTCTGCTCTAAGCAGCTAATGAGTCGTCTGCAGGCGGGGGGTGGAATAGCTGGCTTGTAGTGTAGTGTGTTGGCAGAGCGACATGTATATTTGGGGTGGAGACAGGGACGGGGGAATCTTACATAATAGCTGCCTTCTCTGTATACCTGTGGCAAGCCAACGCAATTTATAAACACCACATTCAGCTCAACTTCTGGGTAATGCTGTTTAAAACAATCAGCCATGGCGAGCTCATTAAGTTAAATGAACTTACTGACAGATGATTCTAAATGTAGAAGTATCAACAGACCCTCCTGCTGGAGTAGTATTAATACATTACCTTTTTATAATTGCTAGTTCCCATCTGTGCTGTTGGAGATACACGAGTCAATGATTTTGCTCCAAAGCTAGTATTTATTTATTTTTTAAAATATAGATTTTGCTTCTAGCTGGCCCTGCCAGTCAGCTCTGCATGCTGTTACAGATAAGACGGCGATGAATTTTGTACTGCTTGATCTCTTGCATTAGGATTTTGACTCAAAGGCATGTATGGATTCCTCCAGCGTCTCTAACAACCTTGGAGCCATGTTCTGGCTGTCCCAGGACAGGAGGAGAAAAGGTCAAGGAGCCCTTTGTTTTTCCTTTCCATCACTCTGGGCAAGAGATGGCTTTAATTTGGCTCAAGAGCAGATATGATGGGGGGGGCGCTGGCTACTTACAACTGTGGTTGTTTGGGATGAAGGCAGCGTGTCTAGGTGGGACTGCTATCCTGTCCTTTGCAAGAACTCTCTCTGCAGGGTGGACCTTAATTTTAACAGTATGGCTGGACTCCCTTCACCACATGCTTTCTCTTCACGCCTTTTGTTAGTCTAATACCACTCTTTACCACTGCTGGAAAACACCAATGGCCTTTTCTGTCTCTTTACTGTTTACTCTTTTCTGTCCTGCCCTGTACAGTGATTGGTAAGATAACTCATCCCGCACTTTCTTTAGTGCATTGCTGCTATCTGCTAATACAGTAGCTTCTTCAGAACAGGCAAGCGGTAGTCTTTGTGTTTAAGGGTGTTCTCATTTCACATTTAAGACGGCAAGTCTCTTGCAATGGGAGGAGGAAATACCTCAATTGCTATAATATACATGAGCACACCTAACTAGTAATTCATTTGACAAAAAAAGCATGTCACCATTCACTGTTTCTTTCACGCACTCTCATTGCATTTGTTGCATCTCTTCAACTTGTTGTCTAAACAGAGAAGTGTGTGACCGCATCTCTTGGTCGATTTGAAATGTGGACTGAATTTTCCGATACTCTCTCTATTATGGCCTGATCACTAGACAAAGCTGATTTGATTACATCCTCTGGCTGAGCATCTAAAACCTAATCAATTATTGTGGAGAAATGGAGCAGTTGAATAAGATTTCATTTAATATGTTTTATTATTTTGTATCTGAGTAGGAGGCAAGCAGACAGAGTAAAATAGCCCATAAAGAAATTGGCTCATATTTCTTCTTTTAGCTTTATGTTGTTTACAACAATATTTGAAGGCCACGGTGCCTTCACTATACAGTGAGCTGAGCTTTTGGTACCTCACATTTCTCGGTAACAACAGTGTATAAAATCTCAGTGTGTATTGCCAAAGCCAGCGTTCAAAATTCATGCCCCTATGAGTCCTGAGGTTTAAAGAAACAGCATAAACAATGGCAACAACCTCCACCGTCCCACTGCCCTCCTTCCCTCCCCCCCTTCATATCCTGAC